CAGGAGAATCGCTTGAACCCAGGAGGCAGAGTTTGCAATGAGCCAAGATTGTGCCACTGCACTCCAGCCTGGGCGACAGGGCAAGACTCCATCTCCAAAAAAAAAAGATGGAGTCTTACTCTGTCGCCCAGGCTGGAGTGCAGTGGCACAATCTCAGCTCACTGCAATTTTTAGTAGAGATGGGGTTTCACCATGTTGGCCAGGATGGTCTCAATCTCCTGACCTCGTGATCCGTCTGCCTCAGCTTCCCAAAGTGCTGGGATTACAGGAGTAAGCCACCGTGCCCAGCCTATGTGTTTTATTTTCTTGTGTTCATCCTGACTGGATTTGTTGTTTCTTCAATCTGTGGGTTGATATTTTTTCATCAAATCTGGAGCAATATTAGGCAGTATTTCTTTGGGTTCTGAGTTATATTTTGTTTCTTCACATGTCTACTAATGTTATATTGAGTGCTAGTAATTTTTAATTGAATGCTAGATATATAGTGTTAAATTGTTGGTTGTAGGCCGGGTGCGGTGGCTCAAGCCTGTAATCCCAGCACTTTGGGAAGCTGAGGCAGGTGGATCATGAGGTCAAGAGATCGAGACCATCCTGGTCAACATGGTGAAACCCTGTCTCTACTAGAAATACAAAAAATTAGCTGGGCATGGTGGCGCGTGCCTGTAATCCCAGCTACTCAGGAGGCTGAGGCAGGAGAATTGCCTGAACCCAGGAGGCGGAGATTGCGGTGAGCCGAGATTGCGCCATTGCACTCCAGCCTGGGTAACAAGAGCGAAACTCAGTCTCAAAATAAAAAAAATAAATAAAAAATAAATTGTTGGTTGTATGGATTTTGTTGTCTTCCTCTGTAGAACATTGATGTGTAGGCAGGTTGAGGGGAGACAATTAAGTTACATATGGATCAGCTTGATCTTTCTTTTTTTTTTTAGTTCAGCTGGGTGCAGGCTGAGGCTGAAAAGGGCATCAGCCTCAGCTTGATCTTTGGTATTTAGTTTGGTTGTTTTTTTTTTTGAGACGGAGTTTCGCTCTTGTTGCCCAGGCTGGAGTGCAATGGCGCATTCTTGACTCACCGCAACCTCTGCCTCCTGGGTTCAAACTACTCTCCTGTCTCAGCCTCCCAAGTAGCTGGGATTACAGGCATGCGCCACCATGCCCAGATAATTTTTTTTGTATTTAGTAGAGACGGGTTTCACCATGTTGGCCAGGATGGTCTCATTCTCTTGACCTCGTGATCCACCCGCCTCGGCCTCCTAAAGTGCTGGGATTACAGGCGTGAGCCACCGTGCCCAGCGATCTTTTAAGTCTTGTTATAAATCCTGTTAGGGTCAGACTAGAGTAGCTTTCACTCTAGGACCAGAAGGAAAGTTCTTACCTACGAAGGCCTGACCTTTCTGGGTTGAATGCTGAATCTCTCTACTCTAGCTTGTTGATCACAAATTTTTCCCAGGCCTGTGTGAACTCTGGAAATTGGTCAGTTTACAAATCCCCAGTAATTATTTTTTTCCCAGTAGTTCTTTGCCTGGACTTGTGGTCTCACCTTAACATGCAATGCAGCTTTGTGTGCCATAGTCTGTAGAAGACCCCTGTTCAGATTTCTAGAGTTCTTTCTCTCTCTGTAGCTTTCTCTTTTCTGGTATACTGACTCATAAATTCTGACTGCCTCAGCATCAGCCTCCCTGAATCCTGAACTCCTGAACCACAATCTCATTTTCAACTCAGCAGGAACAACATGCTTTGTTTGGGCTCTTCCTCTTTTGACCCTGGAATTTTTGGCAGACGTGGAATGTGTCTACAGACAAGAAGCCAGAGTCAATGTATGGTTTCTTCATTTTTATCCCCTCTCTCAGTAATCAAAGCCCTGTAGTACAGTGTCTAAAAAGAATTGTTCCACATATTTTGTCCAGTTTTCTAATTGTTTGCTATAGAAATAAAAGTCTAGGCTGGGCACAGTGGCTCACACCTGTAATGCCAGCACTTTGGGAGGCTGAGGTGGGTGGATCACAAGGCCAGGAGTTCGAGACCAGCTTGGCCAACATGGTGAAACCCCAACTCTATTTTTAAATTAAATAATAATACATAAATAAAATAAAAATTAAAAAAGATATTAAAGTCTAGTATTCATTACTTCATCCGGCCGTGAGGCAGAAAACCTTCACTCATACACCAGGATCCCTAACCCATGCTCCCATGAGAGCTGGAACCTGCTGCTCAGTAAATGTATAGATTTTATACCCTGTGGTGGGTTTTATCCAGTTAGGCTTTTGAAATAATACTGTAACTGTTTGAGTCTTTACCCTTTTGTTTCTTTGTTTAGTGTGGTTAAAAATGTGATTCATATTTGCTACATTGTAATGTGACTTGTACTTTTTAGAAAATATACTTTAAAAGTAGTTTGAATTATATGTAACTATTTAGCTATAATGTTGAATAGAACTTGTGAGGTTTCCTATCACTTAGTATAATATAAACTAAAATGTCAAGGTATATGCTGAGACAGGCTCTTGAGAATGAACAAAGGACAAGAAACAGTTGTTAATGTTCATTTTGTCTGGGAACCACCACATCTGCCTCAAAAGCTAAGTAATCATGACTTATTAGTGTGGTTATGGAAAATATATGTCAGTTCAATTGAGTGAATGAACAGACTTCTTTAGAAAAAAGAACTCTCAAATCAGATTGTTGAAAATTTCCCTTTTCAGAATCACTAAAAACATTAAGAACTTTTGTTTTATTAGATAATGTATGTAATCTGTTAGAATACATTTTTTACCTTTCTGGAATGTAAGTATAGCTTTTCTTTCCTGTATATCCCAGAAATCTCATTATTTTAGCACCCAGGGAAGTTTTATTTTTGTTCACTTGAAATTCATTTCTAAGTTTACCTGTAGACTGTACCTATAGCCAAAGAGGACAGTTACATGGGGACGGCATGGACAAATTCTTAAATTTTCTTCTTTTTCACTTACTGGCATTCATAAGTCTCTTGTATTTTCTAACAGTAAAGGTAAAAGTTAAAGGTGGTTTCTTTTTTTTTTTTTCTTAATTGCATCTGATAGCTGTAATTGTATGGGGAGGAATGTTTCATGAATTATACAGTCATTCTGAATATCACACACTTTGGGGCTTTTTCGTAGTATCACAAAATAATTCTTTTTCCCCCTAACTGTGAAATCTCTTGTGTGCACATAGTGTTTAAAGAAGCAATAATAGATTTCATTATTAATGATAAGTTTTCAAAAACCTAAGTAATCAAAGCATTCTCTTCAAAATCTTCTATAATTATTTAAAAACTTTAATATTTCCTCATTTCCAAGAATTAAAAGTTCCCCAAAAGAGGAAGAAAGACCAAAATTTCACATAGGTTTTTTGATCCAGAAAAAACTAATAATTAACTGATTCATTGCTAAGGATTTCATTTTTTAGTTATTAACAGAAAATGCCTATTCTGTTTAGAGAGAAACATCACAGAGGTGTGAACAATTTTGTATTTTATATTAACATAAAACAAAATTTTGTCTTGATAGTAGAATGTTTTCATTTTATTTTTATCACTAGATTTTAGGTACTTTGAACTACAAATTCTTTCATCATGTTTTCTCAAAATGCTTTCTTATATACATAGCCCACTTACTTTTCTTTGGGGCTAACTCATTTATGAAAAACTATTGGAGAAATTTTTTTTTTTTTTTTTTTTTAATAAGACGTTTCCCCATGTTGGTCAGGCTGGTCTTGAACTCCTGACCTCAGGTGATCCACCCGCCTTGGCCTCCAAAGTGCTTGGATTACAGGCATGAGCCACCATGCCTGGCCAGAGAAATCTTTAATAGAAACCTTCAGATTCAGAAATATTCAGAAATGCACAATATAGTTAGTAATAAAATCTCGTGTGTAAGTAATTTTATTCTACAACTAAAGTATTTCTCTTCATATAGCTGATGATTACCAGTAAACTGTATGCTAGAGGGCATCTGTCAACCTATGCTTAAGGGACCCAGGAACCTACGTTTCAACCAAATCCGTAATATGCAGACACCTCATCTTGTGGTGTTGGGAACCATTGTGTAAAATTCATTGATACTGGTGTCACAGTTATATTTTTGCTTTATGATCTCACTGTGAAAGGTTACGTGAGGTGGTACTTCACCAGCTATTTCTAAGTAAGGACATAAAGTGATATTCTCAAATTGTGCCTAAAAGAACAGTGGCTCCGGAAGTTTTGTTAATAAAAGGAATAATATTCTAACAAATGAGAAATATAGATAAATAAAAGTCAAGCAGGTAATTAGATCAGTGGTTGCCAGGGACTAGAACTTGAGGGAGGGAATTGGCCACAGAGGAACCCAAGGGATTTTTTTTTTTGGTAAGGAATGGGGCCTTGTTCCATTTTCCAGATTGGAGTGCAATGGCACAATCACAGCTCACTAAAGCCTCCAACACCTAGACTCAAGCGATCCTTCTGCCTCTGCCTCCCAAGTAGCTGGGACTACAGGCACATGTCACAGTGCATGGCTAATTTTTAAATTTTTTGTAGAGATGAGATCTTGCTTTGTAGCCCAGTCTGGTCTTGAACTCCTGGCTTCAAGCAGTCCTCCTTCCTCAGCCTCCCGAAGTGCTGGGATTACAGGCATGAGCTGCCATTCCTAGCCAAGGGATCATTTTTGCAGTAATAGAAATATTCTATATCTTGATTGGTGTGGTCATATGACTGAATGTATTTGTCAAAGCTAATTGAAATGTAGACCTCAAACAAGTAATTCATTATGTGTAAATTATACCTCAATAAATATGATTTTTTTTTCAAGTCAACCAGGAAGAGATTCTGGAAAAGATTATTTTCTTCATATTACTAACTGCATCTTGAAATTATTTACAATTATTTCGTTATCGAAAGCTAAGATTTTCTCTTATAAAATACAGTAATTAATATACTATTAAAATAGCATGTGTATTGATAATCTTTTAATAGTTCTCATCAGAAGTTTCTTGTATTTGTTTTATAGGGTCCACATATAGCCTCAGTTACATTAGCTGCTTATGAATGCAATTCAGTTAATTTCCCTGAACCACCCTATCCTGATCAGATTATTTGTCCAGATGAAGAGGGCCCTGAAGGAACCATTTCTTTGTGGAGTATCATCTCAAAAGTTAGGATTGAAGCCTGCATGTGGGTAAGATATGCATTTTCATACTTGTTTAAAAATAACCTCATCATCTTGATAGTGTGTTGTACTTTATTGAAATGGAATCTAAACATATTCCTTATCAGTAAATGATTCAGTAAGTAACCAGCTACCTACTTCCAAGGCAAAAGAAACCTTTTAGAGCATCTCCTATTCATGAATGATCTTGAGAAGAAAGGCATGGACCGTATGTATCAGAAAGCAACTGAGACCAAGTAGACTACAGCAGGGAAAGGGAGTACAGATGATGGAACTACAGTTGAGCCTTCAACAATGTATGGGTTAGGGGTGCCAGCCCCCCTGTGCAGTAGGAAATCCACATATAACTTCTGACTTCCCCAAAACTTAGTAACTTGCTCTGGCTCAGTTCAGATCCATGTTGTTCAAGGATCAACTGTATACTACATTATAAAATTTGTTCCAGTATTTCTTTTCATTTTCTTTCTTTGAGATGGAGTCTTGCTCTGTTGCCCAGGCTGGAGTGCAGTGGATGATCTTGACTCATTGCAACCTCCACCTCCCAGGTTCAAGCCATTCTCCTGCCTCAGCCTCCCAAGTAGCTGGGAGTACAGGCATGCACCACCACGCCCGGCTAATTTTTGTGTGTTTTTAGTAGAGATGGGGTTTCACCATCCTGGCCAGGCTGGTCTCGAACACCTGACCTCAATTGACCCCCATCCCCCTTAGCCTCCCAAAATGCTGAGATTATAAACAAGAGTCATCACGCCTGGCCTTCTTCCAGTGTATCTATACCTGATAAACTCTTAGAACTTATCTAAGAGTTATATAAAATATAAGTATTAGATTGGTAATATATAGTTATATGTAAATATTAGATTGGTAAATGTCATATGTCTTCCTTTTTTTTTTTCTTTATTGTACCCTTCACGAATTTGCGTGTCATCCTTGTGCAGGGGCCATACTAATGTTCTCTGTATCATTCCAATTTTTTAGTATCTGTGCTGCTGAAGCGAGTGCATGTTTACTTTTAGATTAAAATTCTGTGTTCTGGCTAGGTATGGTGGCTTATCCCTGTAATCTCAGCACTTTGAGTGGCCAAGGCAGGCAGATCACTGGAGGCCAGGAGTTTGAGACCAGCCTGGTCAACATGTTGAAACCCCACCTCTACAAAAAATACACAAATTAGCCAGCCGTGGTGGCATGGACTTGTAATCATTTAAGAATCATTTGAACCCAGTAGGTAGGGGTTTGCAGTGAGCTGAGACCCATCACTGCCCTCCAGCCTGGGCAACGGAGCAAGACTCCATCTCAACAACAAAATACTGTGTTGAGAATCATTTGAACCCAGTAGGTAGGGGTTTGCAGTGAGCCGAGACCCACCACTGCCCTCTAGCCTGGGCAACAGAGCCTGACTCCATCTCAAAAACAACAAAATACTGTGTTCTTAGAGGACTCATTTCATTTCTGAGTTATTATATGCTAACTAAAGTAAGGTCAAATATTTCTTAATATAAACCAAACCTTAATATAGTTAAAGTATCAGGCTGTATGATTGTATATGGCAATTTTACTTTCAGTTGTTCCAGTTATTCTTTTTATGGTTTTCTTAAGTTTATTTTACAGAATTTTTTAGACAGCATGTTCAGTGGTGGGTGGATTCTAATCCACACAAATTTTTTTTCCTTTTTGCTATATGCCCAAATTTATACAGGTATCCATTATTGAGGAATAATCCATTATTGAGGTTAAAGACTTCTGTTGCCATTTGAGTTATTTTTTTAACTCATTTGGATTTGTTATGTTCCTGTAATTTTTTTCCCACTAACAATTTCTTAGGAAAGATTATGATGGAACATATCATTTACAAATCTTAACTCACTAAAATTAGCGTGAATACTATACCCTCAGAAGCAGCAGAGTTTTGAAACACAGTAAGTGTTAGCAATTATGTTTTGCTTTAACAGATTTATAAAGGAAATACCATAGCATTGAATTTGTTGAATATGAAAGACAGGAAAAATTGTCTTGTTTCCTGTTGCTCTTTTATAAACTCTGGAAACAAATTTATTATACTAGTTGCATATGCTTTATAAATTTGACAGCATTAGTCTTTTGATGAAAAAAATGTTCGAATAACAGAAGGTACTTGGAACATACTAGAAGAGGAGCTTTGTATATCATTTTGTCCTTTTTTTCTTAATATTATACTTTTGTTCTTTCAAAAATTATTTACATTTGTTAAGGCCAACAAATGAAAACTGCTGTCTCAGCTGGCCGTGATAACTGCTTCTTACAAATTTCTGTAGTGTATATTGTCTGTAGGCTTATTAGGTCTGGCTTCATACATGCTTTCAATTAGTTAACTTGGCTGGTATGGTGGCTTTCTTCCCCAAATAATATTTAGAATCCTAAAAAGATAAAATATACCTTAAATGTATTAGCATCACAGTAATCAGCATTAAGTTTTGCACGTAGGGCTGGGCATCGTGGCTACTAACTCCTGTAATCCTGGCACTTTGGGAGACCGAGGTGGGTGGATCACTTGAGGTCAGGGGTTTGAGACCAGCATGGCCAACATGGTGAAACCCCATCTCTACTAAAAATACAAAAAATTAGCTGGGCATGGTGGCTCACACCTGTATTCTCAGCGACTTGGGAGCCTGAGGCAGGAGAATCACTTGAACCTGGGAGGCATGGGTTGCAATGAGCCAAGATTGCACCTCTGTACTTCAGCCTGTGCAACAGACCGAGACTCCATCTCAAAGAAATAAATTAATTAATTTTTTTAAAAGTTTTAGACGTAGTATAGGAGTGTACTGATAATAGGTCAAATGTGTGCTCTTCTTTCCTTCTTTGTAACTGTCTTGTCATATCAGAAATATAGCACACACCAAGTTATGTTTAAATTTGTTAATATTGTTCTCAACATTTACAAGCACAGTCTTCAACAAATGGTGCTAGGGGCCGGGTATAGTGGCTCACGCCTGTATTCCCAGCACTTTGGGAGGCCAAGGCAGGTGGATCATCTGAGGTCAGGAGTTTGAGACCAGCCTGGCCAACATGACGAAACCCTGTCTCTACTAAAAATACAAAAATTAGCTGGGCATGGTGGTGGGCATCTGTAATTGCAGCTACTTGGGATGCTGAGGCAGGAGAATGGCTTGAACCCAGGAGGTGGAGGTTGCAGTGAGCTGAGATTGTGTCATTGCACTCCAGCCTGGGTAACAAAGCAAGACTCTGTCTCAAAGAAAAAAAAAATGGTGCTAGGAAAACTGAATATCCACATGCAAATGAATGAAGTTGGACCCTTACCTTATAACATATATAAGAATTAATTCAAAATGCATCGAAGACACCAGCCTCTACAATATAGTGATACCCATCTCTACAAAAAATTTTCTTAATTAGCTGGAAATGGCATGTGCCTAGCCTGTAGTCTCAGCTACTCTGAAGGTCAAAGTGGCAGGATTGCATCTTTACAAACTTCACTATTATTATATTGAATCAGCAAAATAATTAATATACGTAGTTGTTTTAAAGAAGCTCACTCTGAGTTTCACCTTGTTCACATAGTTCTTTGGAGCACTTAAAACAAATTATTAGTTTTTCTTTTGAGACTGAGTCTCACTCTGTCGCCAGGCTGGAGTGCATTGGCACGATCCTGACTCACTGCAATTTCTGTTTTCCAGTTTCAAGCAGTTCTCCTGCCTCAGCCTCCCGAGTAGCTGGGACTACAGGCAGGCACCACCATGCTCGGCTAATTTTTTGTATTTTTAGTCGAGACGGGGTTTCACCATGTTGGCCAGGATGGTCTCAATCTCTTGACCTCGTGATCTGCCTGCCTTGGCCTTCCAAAGTGTTGGGATTACAGGCATGCGCCACTGGGCCCGGCCAGATTTTTTTTTTTATCAGTAAGGCACCTCTTATAATGTGTTTGGCATCTTTTTGAACTTCTACAATTTAGCTCTTTCACCAGTGCAAGATTTCTCAAATTATCTTTTCATTTTTGAATTCCACAAATAGTTATTAAGCATCTAAGCACCAGGGGCTCAGGGTGAACAGAACTTAAAAGTCTCTACCCTTATTGAGCATTATATTCTACAGGGGGCGGGGGTAAAAATTATGGAAAAATGTATATATAAATACAAACTGTGATTAGTGCTGTGAGGGTGAAATCTATGGTATAGCACTAGAATTTGCTGTCATCTGAAATTCAGGAAAGAGTTCCATAAAGAAACAATTTTTTTTTTTTTTTTTTTTTTTGAGACATAGTCTCACTCTGTCGCCCAGGCTGGAGTGCAGTGGCATGATCTTAGCTCACTGCAACCTCTGCCTCCTGTGTTCAAGTGATTTCATTTGAAATTTGCATTTGAACTTAGTAGAAGTTCATGTTCATGTTTTGAGTAAAATGTTACACTTCTGTCCTACTTTTTTCTGTGGAAAATTTTTCAAAAGTGCGGAGAATTGTAAAATGAATTTCATATACTTTCACTCAACTTCAGCTAATATTAACTAATAGTTAATATTGTATACCCTTTCTCATTCTCTTCTCAATTATCTTGAAGAAGATCCCAGATAGCATGTCACACATCATCTGTAAATATATCAGCCTTGGGGCCTAAAAACCATTATCACACCTAAAAGAAATTTTATTAGTCTCTTAAAATTCGTTATCCAATTAGTGTTCAAATTTTTCTGATTATATTTATTTCTTCTCAAATTTAAGCTAAAGAAATTGTCAAATAGTTTCTAACGGTCTGAATTTTACTGATTAAATTCTAATTAGTGTAATTCAAACATGTTGTTCTGTTCCTTCTGTTTCCTTTGAGTTGATAAATTGTGTTTTTTTGTAAATAGGAGTATACTTCATAGCCTTGTATATTTCTGTCATGAGATACAATGTTTATTTGTCCTTCCTTTTTGTGATATTAGCACCATGGATGATTTTTTTAATTATATAAGTCCATTATTTTATTAGACGTTATAAAATATTAGTATCCCAGTTACACTTTTATTTTACTTTATTTTTTTACTTATTAACGGGAGACAGGGTCTCACTCTGTCACCAGGCTGGAGTGCAGTGGCACAGTCACAGCTCACTGCAGCCTTGACCTCCCAGGCTCAATCAATCCTCCCACCTCAGCCTCATGAATAGCTGGGACTAAAAACACAAGCTACCATGCCAAGCTAATTTTTTGTAGATGGAGGGTTTTCCTCTGTTGCCCAGGCCGGTCTTGAACTCCTGGTATTATAGGCATGAGCCACTATACCAGGCCTGAAATAATACTTTTTGTTGTTGTTGTTGAGATGGAGTCTTGCTCTGTTGCCCAGGCTGGAGTGCAGTGGGGCAATCTTGGCGCGATCTTGGCTCACTGCAACCTCCGCCTTCCTGGGTTCAAGTGATTCTCCTGCCTAAGCCTCCTGAGTAGTTGGGATTACAGGCACATGCCACCAGGCCCCACTAATTTTTGTATTTTTAGTAGAGATGGGATTTCACCATGTTGGCCAGGCAGTCTTGAACTCCTAACCTTGTGATCTACCTGTCTCGGCCTCCCAAAATGCTGGGATGACAGGCATTAGCAACCGCAAGGAAAACTTTTCCTTGTCAGTAATTTAGCTACCCTGAGATATAGTTTATATCAGAAAAGGATAGATAGTTGATCTTTATTATACCAATTTTTTTTTTTTTGACAGAGTCTTGCTCTGTCGCCCAGGCTGGAATGCAGTAATGCTATCTTGGCTCACTGCAACCTCTGCCTTCCGGGTTCAAGCGATTTTCCAGCCTCAGCCTCCCGAATAGCTGGGACTACAGGCATGCGCCACCATGCCTGGCGAATTTTGTATTGTTAGTAGAGACGGGGTTTCTTTATGTTGATCAGGCTGGTCTTGAACTCCTGACCTCAGGTGATCTGCCCACCTCGGCCTCCCAAAGTGGTGGGATTACAGGCATGAGCCACTGCACCTGGCCGACCTCATCTTTTTTTTTTTTTTTTTTTTTCCAAAAAAAAAAAAAGAGAGAGAAAACAGGAATCCTGGCCGGGCACAATGGCTCACACCTACAATCCCAGCACTTTGAGAGCCCAAGGCGGGAGGATCACTTGAGCCCAAGAGTTCGAGACCAGCCCTGGCAACATAGCAAGACCTGGTCTCCACAAATTTTTTTTTTTAAACTAGCTGAACAGCCAGGCGCAGTGGCTCACTCCTGTAATCCCAGCACTTTGGGAGGTTAGTGTGGGTGGATCAGAAGTCAGGAGTTCGAGACCAGCCTGACCAAGATGGTGGAACCCACCTCTACTAAAAAAAATACAAAAATTAGCCAAGCGCAGTGGTAGGTGCCTGTAATCCCAGCTACTGGGGAAGCTGAGGCAGGAGAATCGCTTGAACCCAGACAGCAGAGGTTCCAGTGAGCCGAGATCACACCACTGCACTCCAGCCTGGTTAACAAAGTGAGAGTCTGTCTCAAGGAAAAGAAAAATACTAGTTGAGCACGGTAGCATATGCCTATAGTTCGAGCTATTCAGGAAGCTGAGGTGGGAGGATCACTTGTGCCTGGGAGGTTGAGGCTGCAGTGAGCTATGATTGTGGCTTGGTGGCGGGCGCCTGTAGTCCCAGCTACTCGGGACGCTGAGGCAGGAGATTGAACCCGGGAAGCGGAGGTTGCAGTGAACTGAGATCACGCCACTGCACTCCAGCCTGGGCAACAGAGCGAGACTACAGGTCAAAAAAAGAAAAAAACTTATTCATCCTAATGTTTAGTTTTCAAAGGGCTTCCTGACCACAATTGGTTAAAGGTTTTAGCAGAAGAAACGTTGTATTTAAATTAAAGCAACTACTGAAATTCTAGAAGATTTCCTAGAGAATTTTTATCTAACATTTATTATACTGGTGAATTTTTTTTTTCTGGAGATGTAGTCTCACTATCACCAGGCAGGAGTACAGTGACATGGTCTCGGCTCACTGCAACCTCCTCATCCTGAGTTCAAACGATTCTCCTGCCTCAGCCTCCTGAGTATCTGGGACTACAGGTGCACACCACCATGCCCAGCTAATATTTGTACTTTTAGTAGAGACGGAGTTTCACCATGTTGGCCAGGATGATCTCGATCTCTTGATCTTGTGTTCCACCCACCTCGGCCTCCCAAAGTGTGGGGATTGCAGGCATAAGCCACCACACCCCGCCACTGGTGAATTCTTACTACAAGATAATTTGAATCTCAAAAAGGAGGCAGCAAGTGACAAAATTAACAGACTCTAAGTAGTGATTCTAGAAAACTAAAATTTACTTAATGTCTACAATGCGCCAGATATTGTCTCAATATTTTTTTTTTAATAGACAGAAATCTCACAATGTTGCCCAGGCTAGCCTCAAACTCCCGTGCTCAGGTGATCTTCCTGTCTCAGAATCCTGAGTATCTATGACTACAGGTGCGTGCCACTGTGCCTAACTTGTCTTAAGGGTTTTATGTGTATTAGATAATACACATAAAGCATCAGATAGGTCAGAATTAGAGCCAGGATTCAAACTCTTATTATTTTGATTGTGTCGCGTATGCTTTCCCTCAATATGTTGCATCTCAAAATGCTTCTGGTGTTACAGAAGAGTATAGGTTTGATCTATTAAGTGTCATTGTGTTGAAAACAGAACCTCATTGTAAGTATTTTGGTTTTTCACCTAGGGTATTGGTACAGCAATTGGAGAGTTGCCTCCATATTTCATGGCCAGAGCAGCTCGCCTCTCAGGTGCTGAGCCAGATGATGAAGAGTATCAGGAATTTGAAGAGATGCTGGAACATGCAGAGTCTGCACAAGTAAGAACGATGGGGGTAGAAAATAGAACACTTTACTTATTCCTAAAGAGGCTATTAAGGTAAAATTGTTAATAGTTACTCTGAAGAAGAAAATTACTAAAGGAAAAAAAAAAAGAAATATGACTTGAGATAGAATATTTAGAAAGGTCAAAATATAAAAATATAATCTTGATTTAAAATAGAAATTATTGAAAAATGCAGTAAGACAACTCTTACTAGACTAAAACATCTTGTCAGAAACCAGGATAAATTACTGTTGCCAATGATGTTAAGGAGCTGAAACTTACTTTTTCCATTATTTGCTTGGAGGTATTACTAAGCTGACTGCTGAATAAGTAAGGGAGACAAATAGATGGACCAGGCCCTGAGTCCAAAATAATAGAACTTCTGAATTGTTTAAGAACCCAAGACAGGAAGACTGCATAAGTCCAGGACTTTGAGGCTGCAAGTGAGCTAGGATCATGCCACTGTGCTCTGGCCTAAGCAACAGACCCCGTCTCCAAAAAAAAAAAAAAGGCATTATATGTCTATTCTATAGTGGCCCTTTCCTCCCTTGAAAGCAACTTCATTTTGTACTCCACATAGTGTGCAGAGCTGCTGAAATGTTTGCTAGGGGAATACATGAATTATATCTAATTCTCAAGTAGTTACTAAAACTTTCAACTAGTAAGCAATGTGTAGTAGTATATTTGACAATAGTAATAGTAGAAGCTTTTTTTTCTTTCTTTGCTTGTTTCTTCCTTTTTGTTGTTGTTGTTGTTGTTGTTTTGATTCAGGGTCTCACTCTGTCATCCAACCTGGAGTGCAGTGATACAGTTTTATCTTACTTCAGCCTCAAATTCTTAGGCTCCAGCGGGGCATGGTAGCTCATGCCTGTAATCCCAGCACTTTGAGAGCCTGAGGTGGGCAGATCAATTGAGCCCAGGAGTTTGAGATCAGCCTGGGCAATAGTGAGACCTTGTCTCTACAAAAAACATTTTTAAAAGCTTAGCTGGGCCCAGGGGCGCATGCTTGTAGTCCCAGCTACTTGGGAGGCTGAGGTGAGAGGATCATTTGAGCCTGGGAGGCAAAGATTGCAGTGAGACATGATCATGCCACTGCACTCCAGCCTGGGCAACAGAGTGGGACTATCAAAAAACAAAAAGTTGGCCAGGTGCGGTGCCTAATGCCTGTAATCCCAGCACTTTGGAATGCTGAGGCAGGCGGATCATCTAAGGTGAGGAGTTCGAGACCAGCCTGCCCAACATGGTGAAACCTAGTCACTACTAAAAAGACAAAAATTACTCAGGTGTGGTGGTGCATGCCTGTATTCCCAGCCACTCGGGAGGCTGAGACAGGAGAATTACTTGAACTCGGGAGGCAGAGGTTGCAGTGAGCCAAGATTATGCCAGTCATTGCACTCCAGCCTAGACAACAAGAGCAAAACTCCCTCTAAAAAAAAAAAAAAGTTATTATCCTCCAGCCTCAACCTCACAAGTAGCTCAAACTACAGGTATGTACCACTAAGATCAGCTAATTTCTATTTTTTGTAGCGACAGGGTCTTGCTATGTTGCCCAGGCTGGCCTCAAACTCCAGGGCTCAAGCAGTCCTCCCGCTTTGGCCTCCCAAAGTGCTGGGATTACAGGATTGAGCCACCACAACTGACTAAACTTTCTTTTTGAATAAAATTTAACAATTCAGACTATTCAGCTGTTCAGACTTGCCTTTGCCTCAGTCAGATTAGTGACTTTTTACTCTGGAGTATTCTAGACAATGGGCAAGTTAATCTCAAGATGGGCAAGTTAAACTTTCAGGAAAGAAAAGTACTAAATGCTAGGCCTAGGCAAGTGATAACATGATTGGCTGAGACTTTTTTTTAACCTAATCACAATCTGTATATCAGCCTCTATCTCAGTTATCTCTACAGAGTGTTTTGTTCTCGGGAAAATTCCTAAGTCTTCATCTTCAAGTCAGATAGGCTTTTAAAAAATGCATTATTACCTAGAATTTGGGAGGCTGAGGCAGGAGGATTGCTTGAGGCCAGAAATTCAAGACCATCCTGGGCAACATGGCAAGATCTCACCTCTACAAAAAAACAAAAAATTAGCTGCGTTGGGTGGTGCATTTCTGTAGTCTCTGCTACTTGGAAGGCTAACACAGGAGCATTGCTTGAGCCCAGAAGGTCGAGGCTGCATTTGCACTACTGCACTCTACCCTGGACAACAGAGCAAGACCCCACCTCAAAAAAAAAAGAGGGCATTATGAAGTAGAATTCAACCAAGTATGGTTATAGTTTTTAATTAAATACAAAACTTTCAAATATGAATTTAGAATAGCCAAATATAAAACAAATGAGCCATGAGCATCTGCCCTGCATGGAAAGAGGCAAGTTGCCCTGGTATCTGCTTTGCTTTATCCACCAACCAAATATTATGCTTCTCATGACATAATGTTTACATTAATATTAGTAATTATTACAAATATAAACTTTAAAAAATATTTTTAGCATTTTAAAAATCCAGTATCTAATAGGACCCTTGTGTTAACTCTGAAGGAGTTTGGAAAGGTACCATTCTTCTAGCTTTATAGAAAACTGTACATCTAGTTGTTACTTCCCAAATTTCACATACTTATAGGTAGAACCAAAACTCAGAATGCTAGCAATTACTGGTATATTCTGATTACTGAAACCAGTCTGTCCACAGTAGTAGATGGGTGAGACTTGTGATAACTGATAGTTCTTTGAGTGATGGCACTAACTAATGTATGTCGTTTAACACTCCTAAAATTCTTTTTTCATCTATGTGAAATCGGCAAGTTGAAATGGAATAAGTATAAGGTGGCTTGCAGATATAAATTTTTATGCTATTACTTGGATTCCAAATGGATATGAGAGTTGTTCTCTCTTAAGTCAACTAACGTACTATGATTATTTCTCCTTTGTTTTTTAAAGCTTATTTTCTTGGAATTAACATTTTCAAATTAGCATTGTCTCTTTAAATGTCTGGCTTGCCTTCTCTCCCCTCCAACAGCTCTGTAAAAACACCTCTTGATACCACTTTCCACTTGGTAACACATGTAAAATTATATCAATTTCTTTTTTTTATTTTGTTATTATTTTTTTTAAGACAGGGTTTCACCATGTTAGTCAGGCTGGTCTTGAACTCCCAACCTCAGGTGATCTGCCTGCCTTGGCCTCCAAAGTGCTTGGATTACAGACGTGAGCCACCACACCCAGCCATTATATCAATTTCTTTCTTTTTTTTTTTTTTTTTTTGAGACGGAGTTTCGCTCTTGTTACCCAGGCTGGAGTGCAATGCCGCGATCTCGGCTCACCGCAACCTCCGCCTCCTGGGTTCAGGCAATTCTTCTGCCTCAGCCTCCTGAGTAGCTGGGATTACAGGCATGCGCCACCATGCCCAGCTAATTTTTTGTATTTTTAGTAGAGACGGGGTTTCACCATGTTGACCAGGATGGTCTCGATCTCTTGACCTCGTGATCCACCCGCCTTCGCCTCCCAAAGTGCTGGGATTACATACAGGCTTGAGCCACCGCGCCCGGCCCTATTACATATTTATTTTTGAAAAGCAATTTGTGTGTATTTTTCAGGCTTTTCTGTTTGTTCAATTTGGAGTTCAGGGCTTTTCTCAAAGCCTGATAATGCTTATTTGTCTGTTTATATAAGAATAAGGCAGGTAATAGCTGTGTGAGGTGGCTCATGCCTGTAATTCCAGCACTTTCGAAGGCTGAGGCAGGCAGATCACCTGAGGTCAGGAGTTCGAGACCAGCCTGGCCAACATGTTGAAACCCTATCTCTACTAAAAATACAAAAATTAGCTGGGCATGGTGGCGGGCACCTGTAATCCCAGCTACTTGGCTGAGGTAGGAGAATTGCTTGAGCCTGGGAGACAGGTTTCAGTGAGTCTAGATCATGTCACTGCACTCTAGCCTGAGCAACAGAGTGAGACTCTGGCTCCACAAAAAGAATTAGGTCCTTAAAAGCTAAATGGAAGCTATTTGTGTAGAGGCCAGGTATAGTGATGGTGAGGGTTCCCTATTATACAGTCAAGTGGCATCCAGGCTTAATATTTACTGAGAACCTCCATATATCAGTGTCTATTGATCTTTTCTTGGGATAGTTCAGTTTCTCTATGATGAATTCTTCAATTTCTTGCCTAGGCAATACAGACAGTCCCTGACTTACAATGGTTTGACTTACGATTTTTCACATTTACAATGGTATGTATGAAAGTGATACACATTCAGTAGAAGCCATAGGCTGAATTTTGGATTTTGATCTTTTCCCAAGCTAGCGATATGTGGTACCATACACTCACACAATGCCAAGTAACAGCAGTGAGCCACACTCTCAGTCAGCCAGGTGATCATGAGGTTATACATTTATACTCTGCAGTATACTGTAATTTTGCCCAACTATAGGCTAATATAAGTCTTCTAAGCATGTCTAAGGTAGGCTAGGCTAAGCTATGATGTTTGGTAGGTTAGATGTATTCAATGCTTTTTTTGATTTACGATATATTCAACTATGATGGGGTTATGAGATGTCACCTATTGTAAGTCAAGGAACGTCTGTGTCAGCCTTGCTGCTGACATACTAAAGCTAGGCTGGGGAAGAGTGGTTAGAGATCTCAATTTAGTATGTGGACTGTGGCTTAACTCACTTTATGTTTCATCTGTGAATACCAGCAGTAACACAAGCACAATTATGTCCTGATCCCAAAACATTCACTTTTGTCTAGAGACTATGTCTCCTACTGATATGAGTAAGTGAGTTGCCTTGCTGTACTAAGTAGGGATGGGACCTAGGAGTCTAATTCTTATGCAACATCCTTGTTTTTCAGCCCTAAGCCAGCCTTTTCTGGCAATTCTGCTGAAGAGCTCTTCTGGAGTTCTGTGGGACAAATCGTTTTGCTTCTCTTCCGTGTCCCTCCCCTGTATGTTCTCAGATATAATCTTTTCTTCTATTTGTCCTGTCTTCATTTATGAATGCTAACTTCAT